AGAGATCTGAGGGCTGGCTCCTTCCTCAGGGCCAGTGGCCAACCTCCTGTTCCCCATACCCCCCCCCTGGCTGGCAAGCCCTGATCAGCCTGCCCCAGTGGTGGCGTGGTGGCAAGGGAAGGAGGAAGATGGGAGATGGGGAACTGCACGGTGGCAGGTTGCTGATGATGGCAGTGCCAGCATCCGTTCCTTCTGCATCTGGCCCTGGCGATCATCACCTTCTCTCCAGCTCTGCCTTGATCAGCCTATCCCCAATCAGCCCTCATCGCAGGCCAGGCCTAGGGACCCCATCTGTGCACAAATTTCATGCACTGGGCCTCTATTTCAAATATAACAGCTGAAAAAGGAGAAATTTTCCCTAGGAAAAAAGATAAAAATATTTTATGGAATAATATAAATAGAACACTTTTAGCTTTAGGCTAAGATGATTATGATTTGATTTAGTTAGAAGATGATTCCTACTGCTTTATTTTCTCTTTTCCTATCACCACCCTATTTACTAAAGTTGGATAAGTACCCAAACAGGACAGAAAAACATAGTCTCTTCCCATGACTGATTAGAATGTTATTTTTAGTACTCTGAATTATTCCTATACCTTTGTAAGATACGAGGATTCAATTTTAGTAAAGGAGCAGTTAAGTTCCTATTTTATAAGAATCAGTTTTAAACACAAAGAGGTGTATAACTTTATATAGCAAAAGGAAAGTGAATCTTGTTCTGTGCATTTTTTACACCTATGCCTCGAACTATTTTCAACAAGTTATCTTGTGTTTCCTTAAAGTTATTGTTTCACTCTTTATTTAATCATACAGTTTGGCATTGTATGGTTTGGTAAGATAGCATCAAAGAAATTTTTCTCTAGAGAATGGTGAGGATTTACTAATTCAAAACTTACAGAGTATCTAGAATAATGCCTGGGGACATAGTAAATCTTAATCCTGGCTATAATGTTAGGTATTATTAAAATCATTGTGGTTTTTTTTTTTTTTTTTTTTTTTCCCAGAATGAGAAATGATTGGAAATGGAATAGGGACAAGAAAGTGTAAATTACTTCAAAACTCTCATTCTTTAGACCTGAAAGAGGAAATATAAAATTGAGTTCATAGAAGATAATGCAACGTAAGCAGTTAATAGTTGACAGGACTGACTGAATAAATACTAAACTTAATATTAAGAACAGTATATTTAAGTGGATTCAATTAAGAGACATAAAATCATGTCTATAGAAGAATTTTTTGTGTATTTTTTTTTACTGATTTACTTAACAGTTACTAAGTAATGTCATACAATGGGCAGTGAATACCAGAATTAGTAAATCTCAGTCTAAAACTGGTTAGAAAGTGGCCATGCAGCCTGAACTCGAGAGTTAAAGGAATGAAAGAATTCTTTCCCTATAAGTTCTAAAAATTAGAATTTTCTTTCTTTTTTAAATTTGTGGTCCTTTAATGTAATTCCTGCATAAACACTGTATACTGTGGTTATTATAAACATTAATAAACTTGGTTTTAGCCTTCTTTTAAAAATTAGCTTTAATCATTATGGTATGTAAGGTATGCTAGGATAGGATAGCAGCTTTAAGTCTTATGACCTTAGGTCAGTTTTCCCACACTGTTTTTACAGAACACTGATTCTACAAGAGCTCCCCTAACAAAGAATTCTTTTGTCAGATAAGTTTGTGAAAAGCTGCATTTTGGGTATTTTATTTAGATTCACAATCTAAAGTGACTTGTAAAGGCAGAAGGTAAACACTTGTTTAATTTTGTTTAACCCCATTTTTTCAAAACGTTAATTATTTCCAGATCCATTTTCCAGGTAAGATATTGAACCCATCACATAACTACTTTCCATGCTTTTTTCTTCCTCCATCTTTTGTCAGATCTTCAGCGTTTTTTTCTTTCTGTTCTGTATATGACTGCAAACTTTTAATGATAATGTGCAAGAATAAATAGCCAAAGGTCTAGAGAAGCCTATCTTTTTTCATGCTGAAAACATTTCACTGACATCAACATAATTAGTTATGTGCTCTATATGTAAGTCTAAAAATAAAAATACCACCTTAACCACAAATAATATAATTTCTGGGAATAAAAGTTTAATATTCCTAATTCTTTTTTCCTGATAGTATACTAGAGGCCTGGTGCATGAAATTCGTGGATTCGGGAGGGGTGTGTGTGTGGGGGGGGGGGAGAAGGGGGGTTCTCAGCCCAGCCTGTGCCCTCTCACAGTCCGGGAGCCCTCAGGGGATGTCTGACTAAGTGGGCCTAAGCCAGCAGTTGAACATCCTTAAGTGCTGCCACAGAGGTGGTAGAGGCTCCTGCCACTCCTCCTGTGCTCGCCAGCTGTGAGCCTGGCTTCTGGCTGAAGGGGAGTGCACTGACACCCAAGGGGCAGCTCCTGCTTTGAACATCTATCCCTGGTGGTCAGTGTGTATCATAGGGTCGATTTGCATATTAGCCTTTTTTATATAGCTACAACTTATAACAAATTACAAATTGTTTCTGGACTTAAATCTCATATATACTAGGTGTACCAGTTAATAATGCAGATTTTTTTTAATAGATGGAATTACAAATATGTTGATATCTAAACAGTTTGATATGTGTGGTATTTTGTTGTATTGACAGCAGGCTTCAAAAACTTTACATGTCAAATTTGCTGAAGGTCATAACATAAGATATTTTTACACTTAAAAATGTCGAATTTCGTGCTAAAAAAAAAAAAAGAAGGAAAGTGTTAATTTATTACTTTATTTTGAAGAAAAGTGCTGCTGAAAGTTATGGTATACTTCAGGAAGCTTATGCTGAACATGCTACATCTTAGTACCTATGAATGCTGGTTTAAATGCTTTAAAAGTGATGATTTCTACGTGAAAGACAAAGAATGTCCAGGTCAGCAGAGCTTGAAGACAAACAATTACAGGCATTATTGGATGAACATGCATGTCAAACTCAAAAACAACTTGCAGAAAGATTAAATGTTGCTCAGCAAACAATTTCTGATCATTTATAAGCAGTGGGAAAGATTTTTTTTTTAAATATATTTTATTGATTTTTCACAGAGAGGAAGAGAGAGGGATAGAGAGTAAGAAACATCGATGAGAGAGAATCATCGACCAGCTGCCTTTTGCACACCAAGGTACATGCCCTTGACTGGAATCGAACCTGGGACCTTTCAGTCCACAGGCCGACGCTCTATCCACTGAGCCAAACAGTGCCGGCAGTGGGAAAGATTTTAAAGGAAGGAAAATGGATGGCACATCAACTGAACAAAAGACAAATGGAAAACCGAAAAAGGCATCAGTAAAATGTTGCTTCAGTGGCATGAAAGATAGTCTTTTTTGCATCTAATTGTAACTGGCAATGAAAAGTGGATTTATTTTGAGATTCCTAAATGCACAAAATCATGGGATGATCCAGGTCAAACATCAACATTAACTACAAGGCCAAATCACTTTGGAAAGAAGACAATGCTCTGTTTTGGTGGGATCAGGAAGATGTGGTGTATTTGAGCTTCTAAAACCAGGTGAACCGTTAATACTGATTGCTACCAACAACAAATAATCAGTTTGAACCACACTTTAATCATGAAATGACCAGAATGTGCCAGAAGACATGGCAAAGTAATTTTGCTTTATGATGATGCACCATCACACACTCCAAAATCAGTTAAAGACATGTTAAAAGATATTGCCTGGGAAGTATTAATCCACCCGCTGTAGTCACCAGACCTTGCTCCTCCAGATTACCACTTGTTCTGAACAATAGCACATGCACTTTCTGAGCAGCACTTCAAAACGTACAAAGAAGTGGAAAATTGGGTCTCTGAATTGTTTGCCTCAAAACAAGAAAAGTTCTATTGGAATGGTATCCATAAATTACCTAATAGATGGGGGAAATATGTACTTAGTGATGGATATTACTTTGAAAAAGCACTTTTGATGTTTCTCTTGAAATGATCGTGTTTTCTTTGATTACAAAATCTGCCGTTATTAGCCAGTACACCTAGTAAGCACTTTAAAAGTTTTTAGTTATATGACATTGTGAGGAGGCCATGGACTTAAAACTTCTGAGCTGCATTTTATTAGGCATGGAATCCTTTAGATTTGTAACAAATTTATATGTACAGATTTAAAATTTACACCTGGGGACTTCTAATGTCACACAACTTGTGGTCAGAAATCATTTAACATGCAATTGTTTCTACATTTTACATTGTACTATACTTTGAGATTGTGTTATAAATTTTTTGTGACTATGAGTTATTTTGGTATGTTTCTTACATTGATTTATGTTAGTTCATGTTACTTTAATTTGAATCCACTATTTCTAAAGCAGCCACTTAATGCAGCAAGTATTTAATTTTTACTATTTACTAAGTTTAAGTTTTGTATGCAATTCTGGAAACTTTGTAGAAAGTACTTTATAATAGAAAAGTTCAGTATTTTTCTTTCATTGAGATATGTATATAATAGTGATATATCAATTTGTGATCATGTGATATAATATAAAAATGTGATACTTTATGCAAAATTATTCTAATTCTATTAAAAATTTCTAGTTTATAGTTACTATGTATGTCATTTGTAAATGAGTAATAATTAAAATGCAGAGATATACATTTAGCCTGTTAATTCTAACTTAGATTTTGATTCAGGATCTTGAAGTATTTTGAGGCTATTGCCTTAAATGGCAATTATTGTATTGTAAACATAGTTTTTGTAGTCAAATAATGGCCAATACTCAGTTAGCTCTAATTAATTGTGAGAAATTGTTCTTGTTTTCTTTTTAAAGGAATTTCCAATCTCTCGGCTAATTTTAGAAATAACCATATAAAGCAAATTATTATAAGTAGTAAGTAGTTATAATTAAATAACCACAAATCAAATTAATAGACAGCTGTCTTCACTGTGTTTAGGTGTTTTGATTTAAATATTAGGTGCTATGTTTTTTTCTTCAGAATTTATTAATATTCTATATTCCAATGTTCTTAATTATTTTAGGCTGCAGTTCATGGAGCTCGTTTCAAAGGGCAGGATCTAAAACTGGCATGGAATAAACCAATAACTAATATTTCAGCTGTAGAAACAGAAGAGGTTGAACCTGATGAAGAGGAAGTATGTTTGTTTTTTTCACTTGGTTTTGCCCTTAAATGTTCACATTTTTATATAAATTGTGATTTTATGGCTATGATTTTTAACATAAAATTTTTATTCCTGAACCATATTTCAGGAAGGGGATATCAGATAAATGCAGACAACTTTAAATTTTCTAGATTAATGAAATCTGTGGATTGCTAATCTAAAGAGAATATATGCAAATCATACACACACACACACACACACACACACACAGTTTCACTTACTCTTAAAAGAATAATTATTAGATTTTTTTTTTTTATCCATAGAAAATCTTGTAATATTTCAAGTTTTAAAGTATACTCAATTGCTTTATTAATATTTCAGGTACTTTTTATTTTAATTCATATTGTTTTAGTTCATTAGAATGAATGCTGGTATATGGTAGATACTGATAGGCATAAAAATGAATAAGACACGGTCCCTATCATCATGGAGCTTATAATTTGGAAAGGGAGGTGGTGTTATCAGACACATAAGAAACAAATTATAATAAAAGATTGATATACTGAATAAAGATTTGAACAATATGCTGTCGGAATCCAAAGGAAGGAGTGGTTATATCTGTCCATAAGAATCTTGAAGAGTTGGTGACCCTAAGTAATAAAGCTTTCCATAAACCAAGAGCTTGGATGGTGAATATAGTTGAGAGGCATATTTAAGCAGAGAGATAATTGTGGAAACCACATATTTCTTGGGTAACAGCAGTTAGTCTGAGAGTTCTGAGCATAAAGGCAAGTGAGCCCTTTGAACAACTCCAAGCATAAGATTAATCAACTCTATTTTGTTTAATCATAAAGTAAGCTGTAGGAAAAAAGTTGAAGTTAAAAAATAAAGGTAAGGGAGGGACACTAAACAAACCCATGTTTACCTCTGTTAGATTATCAGTGTCACTTCATTTTGTTTGAAGAGCGTTCAAGGCTGTTAACGCATATCCATAGTCAAATGCAAGAATAAATTGTGTTTTGAAACTCATATACATGATTTGTCATTTTATATTTTAGATTATACCTTTGTCCTTCCATGAGTTTGAATTGAATGGGGAGAAAAGCAGGAGAGCTCCTGGTATTAGGTATTTTGAAAAGCTTGAAAAGCAGTCTGAGAAGCTGTTATGAAAGGAATGGAGAAAAGAAATGCTATAAAGAAAATGTTTGTTTACGTACAGTAGAAAATCTTGGATAGACTTTTATACAACTTATTGGTTGATTTAGTGTCCAGCATTAGGGTAAGTCAGAGAAGACTTACTGATGTTTTCTTTAAAAAAAAAAAAAAAAAGTACTACATAATGTTTTGTAGGTATAGAGAAGATAGCATTATTTGGTAAAGAGAGGCAGGAGAATGGCATGTAGAAAAGCTTACTTTGATAATTCTTTAGTGCCTGTTTGATGCCAGCAATAGAATAGATACTATAGAGAAACCACTGAGTCAGTAAAGGTTGCTTTTTGTTTCTTGAATGTTCTAGCTATAGCAATGCCTTTTGTATTCAACTCTGTTGAGAGAAATCATTGTTTAAAAGTGTCACCTTTTTTCTTTTCTTTTTTTTTTGGGTAAATTCCTAAATGCATTTTAACCTAAAGTTTCAGGAAGAGTCTATGGTGGATGACTCATTACTTCAAGATGATGATGAAGAAGAAGAGGACAATGAATCTCGTTCTTGGAGAAGATGATTTGACTGATCATTGATCTGCACATGCTAGAACTCTACCTGTGTTTCATTAGTATTACCTAATGTACTTTTACATATTTGTAAAAACAATTTTTTGGTAAATGTGAGAAGATGGATTTCACAAATAGAAGAAAAGAGAACTACCTTCTGCTCCTGTATTTTGAAAGATTGATGTTTGCATTTTATTTCAGTAAACAATTGCTAAAGACATCCCACTAGAAACATGAAATGTTTTTATTACATACTTCTACTGAACAATACAGAATTCTTTGGGTTCTTTGTAATTTAATGAATAGGTCTAAAAATTTATGACCAATACTTGTAATAACTTAGAGGAATTTGTTTTACTCCAATAAGGAATGAATTTGCATTTAAAATCTTAATGAATGTTTTAAAAAATGAATAGATAACATAGTACTCTAACTAAAGTCTCCAAGTATGTATTGATAATATTACATAGTAGTATGCTTAGGCTTTACTATGTATTAGCCTTTTGTTGGACTTGTGTATGTATTTTACCATATGGGTTTCAATGATAATGGTGTATGACTGCTTTGCATATGACTCTCCTTATGCATTCAGATGTTTAAAATAAAGTGGAATGGTCTTTTACAAAAAAAAAGAAAAGAAAAAAAAAGCAATGGCAGAAAAAAAAAAACAACAGCAAAAAAAAAAACACAACCAAAACGATGTTCTTTGATTTAAAAAAAAAAAAAAAAAAAGATAAAAAGAAAGAAAAAAAAAGTTAAAATAGACCATTCCTAATGGTGATCTACCCTTTCCCCCAATTATCACAAAAGGAGCTATAATCACTAACTTATTCTTAGTAATAATGATTACTGATAACCTTTATAATAATGTACAATCCAATGTTTAAAATTTATACCACTTCAGTTTGGTTTGATCCTATAAATTTTCAACAGATGTCTTAAAATTTAAAAGCAGGCTGATTAGTTTGGAACCAGACTTCAAGTAGAGCTAACATTTGGTGAATAAGAAAACCCACATTACATTTTGGATGTGTGAAGGAAAACTTGACCATTTGAAGATGTATGAATAAAGAAATGTACTATAGATACTACTTTAGGAAAACACTGTTTGGTAAGTGTTTCAGTCTGATATTTTAAGTGTGTGTTTCCTATACTTGTATAAAAATATTTGTCATTTGCAACATATTGTGATTTTTAAATGGATTTCTCTGGCAAGTGAACATGATCACTTAAAGTTGATACAGGAAATAAATGCATTCTTTGTAGAATGAGGGGGTGGGAGAATACATATTTATATTTTTACATTCATTGTTTTGTTTACAAGTGTTTCTGCTCCTCCTGAGATTATAGTGATTATATTAAAAAGTCACATAAAAAAACATCACTTTCTTTCCATACTGTAGTTCTCACAATCACAAACTAATTTCACCATCCACATGCTTTTACCAGTGGAGTGACTAGTGGATTTTTTCCACACTTAGGGTTAAAGATACATAATGTTCTTGATGGTAATACTATTTCATAGGAATGTTTTGACTTGCAATTAGTGCATATGTTTATATTTAACATTTCAAAATCATTTCTTTTGTCCAAATATGACTTTACTCAAAAACTTCTTTATTATACCTAGATCTAAGATTTTTATGTAGTCTCTTGTATGTTGATTATATACTATTCTGATTTGTTAGGTAAGTTTGTTTTCTTTTCTTTTTAGTAGTCGTGAAAGGTGCCAAATTGGCAGAGGCTCACGTTTCTTCTCTTTACACCAAACAGGTATTATAAAGAAAAAAAAAATATTTCAAAGGCCAGTTAAATCTCCATGCTGATTTTTGGCTTTATAATTGGATTAATAAATTTTAGCCTGATATTTTAAAAATCAATGTAAAATCCCTTATGTAATTGAAATTACCTATTATTTAAGTTCACAAATAGGTAATTTTTCTAGTTTTTCATTCTCTAATAACCTAAAATTAAAATGTTTTAAGCCATTTTCTGTGAATGAATCAGAAAGGCAAGTATATGTCAGTTTGGTCCAGAAGTATGGGGACTAAATATTACCAACATGCATTAGATTCACAAATATATTTTTAGCAATGATTTGAATTGTAAATATTACTTAGATTTTCATTGCTATTGAGTTTTTGAAATTAATGTTTATAAATACTAGTAGTCTACCTGTACTTTCATCTACTCTCATTCAAAACTTAAGCTATCCCTTTAAATTAGTTGTTAAATTTCCATTTTACAGCTAAGGAAATTTGGGATAATAGAGATTGACTTGCCCAAAGTCACTGCTAGTCAGGTGAATAGAATTAAATGCACTAATTCTGATTTCAGTGCCAGCTACAGTTTTTTAAAAACTATCTTGCTACCTCCTTTCTTATGATTGATTGAGAATGAGATTGTGTACAATGAATGTGTAATTCTTGCACAATACTAGTGGACTTCTTGGTCATTAGCCAGTCATAACTTTACCTTCCCTTTTAATACAGCGCTTTGTTCATATCTCTTGTTACAAGTACTTACATTGCAATATAATTTATCTGGTTTATATGTCTGTCTTCCCCATTAGATTACAAGCTCCTCTAGAAAGGGGACCATGTCTTATTCATCTTTTTATCTCTAGTAATTATCACAAAGGCTGGCTCATAGTGGGCACTAAGATTTTGTTGGATGAATTAATTAATGAATGCATAATTTAATCTCCAGTAATGGAGTGACAATTACCTCCCTTGTTAATTCTTATCAATTTTTCAAAAATATCTCCTGAAGCTCTTCTCAGTCATTGGGACCATTTTGCTAAAAAATAGCTACAGTTAGGTATTGCACCACTGGGGTTACAAATGCTGATGGAGGGAATACACGGGTAGTCTTAGTGGAATTTTCAAAAACTAAGGCATTAATATTTTTTATGGAATTAAATATTATAGTCAGTTTCAGGAGTAAAATGACCCTTTGGTTTCTGTTAATATATAAGAATAGAAATGGCAAGGGTCACTAATCTAGTCCATCCCACTGTTTTTTATATCTAGTTCATTCCCTAGTGAAGAGGACTGGAAAAGGGTTAAGAGATTTAGCTTTCGGTCTCAGCTCTTATAACTCTAAGGCTGTGGCCTTAGATAAGTCTCTTAAACTTATCCAGGGCAGTTTCCTTGTCTATAAAATGAAAGTGGTTGGATTAGATGATCTCTTAAGTTTCCTTTCACATTTATAGCTTCCTGGTGTATATTAGCGTTTAATCTAAAACAATTTAATATATACCAATTCTACATACTTTTGCTACTGTTTCTGTCTTATCAATTGAAACAATTTCAATTTGGTTCTGATAATTCATACAGTGTGTCTTAGGACAGTTTTATATATAGTGTTCTCAAATGCTTGCTATTGCTGGCACAAATTTCATTCTATAAAGTACAGATTAACTTCGGTATTTGCTAGCACTTTCCCTTTCTGCTTATAACTTTTCCATTTACTTCTGAATTCAATGTTTAAAACTCTTTCTTATTACAATATGCTACCTAAAACTTGAAACACATTTTTAAATACAGTCGTCATAGTAAGTATAGATCTGGGCTGAATTTGGAGTGAAAAAAAGATTGAGAACAATGTAGTTAACTACTGCTTACAGGAAAAAAATTAAGGAGAATTATATATTATTGGATAAAAGATTGATTAGGATTAGTTCAAGGGATGGTTGAATTGTCATTTTACATATTTCAGTATTTTATGTCTCTGCCTAAGCAGTGTTGTTTTAAATCTTATAGGATAATTGTAACATTTTAAAATTTAATTTTAATATTTAAACATTGCCCAAGCATTTATTGAAATCATGTTGTAGGAATGCGAGAGTATTTCATAATGCTTGTTTTATTGTAATATGATCAAATGTATCAGTTGGTAGTTTTCTATGAAGACAAGATTTCACTGTTTTAGCTGATTATCTGTAGAAAGAATGGCTGAGTCTAATGAAGGAAATTTCCTGTTACTAGAACTGTTTTATGAAGAGTGTATTTCCAATTTTAAATGGAACACTAATCATTGATTCTAAAGATTATAGGAAGGAAGCAAACAGTTGCTTGTTTGGTATGTTAAAATATTAATGGCTATATTATAGTATTATACAAACCTTATCTATATTTTCATTTTCCCCTTACCTACAATGTGAATTACTTATAGAAAATTATTTTTACTTCTTCTAGAATTTATATAAAAATATAAGCTTTTAAAAAAAAATCTCTTACAAAAGTATTTTATTCTTTTAAAACAAAAAATGTCCTGCATGAAGTTCTGGGTTAATTAAGTAATTTCACTTTTTGGTCTTTCGGGGTTTTTCTTACTCTTCTAAAACCCTATAAATTAAAAATGGAAGTTTAACATAGTATTAAATCAGGAGTGTATAACATTTATAGGCAGAAAGAAAAATGTCCTTGCCCTAGACTCAGGAACTATCTTGTTCTTGTTAACCTCTTGAATTGGCTAGTTGCTCTAAGGTATGTATGCAGGCATTTAGAGAGGAGTAGTTTTTTCTCTCTCTTTGATTATTATATACCTGTTAGATAACAGCAGATAATTTCCAAAATAGCTGCCTAGAAGTCCCCAAAAACAAATTTGGTGGACATGACTGCCATGCTCAGTAATTTCTAATGAAAACATCGTTTAGTTGAAAAATTTCTTACCTGGTAAATTTTCTTTTATAAAAAAAAGTTTATAAGTAGTATGTTATTCATTGCTTAGTGTAATTGAAAGCATTTTTTACCTTACCTTTCTAATATCAGTTTATTATACTTGTTCTTATTCCTGCTTCCTTGTTACTTCATTTCATCTGCCTACTCATCTCCCTATCATACAAAATTAGCCTTCCTGTGTATACCAAGCACTGCATTTTGATGTGTTGCTTTTACTTATTTTTGTTAATCATTGTGCTTAATATAGAATTTTATGTCATATAGTGTGACTAAAGAATGACATGATTATCATATGGAGTTTAAGGTAATTAGATATACCATGAAAC